AATTTATAAATTATATTAAAAACATTAAAGTAATCTGAAATGTATTTCATATATTAGTTCATTAATTCATTTAAGTTCTTGAACGCGATCTGTGCCATTAAAAAATTCAAATATAATTGTAATGGCGGCGATGCCTCTGAATGTGTCATACGATATTTAGGATATGCCTAAAATCTTGATGATCCATGTACTAGCAAGAGCGATGTTTTTCTAATTTTAAAGGCATAGTTCTTTAAGAACTACGAAACACGTAGCAATGTTATGATTTTATAAATCTCGGACAATAAGGCGTCGAATTACACAAGATATATAAAAAATCTGGAAACGGTCGAATGTATCGAAAGCAAAGCATTTTTGAGAAAAATGTTTCAGACAAAAGTATAGGGTTTAAAAAGATCTTTTCACTGATTACATCCGCTTGACCTTGAGTGTCGTCACCAAGATCAGATCAAGATCAAATTGACTTTTTTTTAATGAGAAACCCTATTTTAGATGCCAGAATCTAATATTATAGCTGGTGTCAAGAACTTTCCAAACACTATAATAAAGTTATTTCTTATTAAGTACTTTTCAAGTTTTAAAGCTTGAAAGTTACCGCCGACATTAGCATTACGCAAGATATCCGACCGACGGATAAAACTTCTTGAATGTTGTTCAGGATCATGTCATGAATAACATTTGTCAAGATAAAGACCATTGGTTGTATCTCTTATTTTCATTTTTACGTAGAAATAAATTTTTAATGCAAAAATAAAAATAATGGGTATTAATTCCTAAGGACCTTGATCTTAACAAATGTTATCTAGAACATGATCCTGAACAATATTCAAGAGGTTGTAGCCGTCGATCGAACCTTGCATCGGTAGTTCTGTAAATGTCGAGCTTTATAACTCAAAAAGTACTTAATGAAAAATAACTTTATTATAGTGTTTTGAAAAGCTCTTGACACCAGTTATTAAATTCTGGCATTAAAAATAGGATCCTATTTAAAAAAGTCAATTTGACCTTGACCTAACCTTGGCGACCGAAAGTCAAGCGGATGTGATCAGTGAATAGATCTT